AAAAAAAAAAAAAAAAAGAAAAGAAAAGAAAGAAAGAAATAGTGAAAGTCATTGAGACTATTAAGTTTTTCTAATAAATCTGAGAAAAGTTACCAAGAATGTTAATTAAAGTGAAAAGAAAATGGAAAATGGAATAATTTCTATACTGATCAATCACACCAAAAAACAGTGTCTTTAAATGAAGACAGATAAAAACAGATCAGTAGTGTCACTTTCAGCCTTGCTCAGGGGTGTTGGGTATATAACCAGTTTACTGCAACTGCCTGTTATAGGAGCTGTGCGGAAAGTGTGTTAGAATGCAGCAGCATCACCAATGAAAATTGGCAATTCCTTTTGTTCTAGAAACTGATGGTAGTTACATTCCTTAAATTATCTTTTTTTTTTTCTTTTCTGAGATGGTGTTTCATCATTCATGATGTTACTCAGGCTTGTCTCAAACTTGTAGACTCATATAGTCCTTCTGTCTCAGTCGTGAACACCCACTGTGCATAGATGAAAGAAGTTACTCTTGTGTGTGTTTGTGTGTGTGTGTGTGCATGCACGCGAGTATGTGCACGTGCCAGTCCTAGGGCTTGAAATCAGGACCTGAAGGCTATGGCTCTGTCACTTGAGTTACAGCCCCACTTCACTTTTGGCACTTTTGTTAGCCAATTGGAGTTAAGAGTCTCACGGCTTTTCCTTCCTGGGCTGCTTTGAGCCACAATCCTCAGATCTCAACCTCCTGAGAAACTAGGATTACATGTGTGAGCTTCTGGCATAGGCAAGACGTTACTCTGAAGTGGAGTTTAGATTCTTGTTGTTGTTTTTTTTTTTTAATTCGGTCCTGGGGCTTGAACTCGGCTTGGACTCTGTCTCTGCGCTCTTCAGCTCAAGGCGAGTGCTCTACCGCTTGAGCCACAGGGCCACTTCTGGTTTTCTAGTGGTTTATTGGAGATAAGAGTCTCAAGGAGGGGCTGAGAAGGTGTCTCAGTGGTAGAGCGCTTGCCTTGCATGCATGAGGCCCTGGGTTCGATTCCTCAGCACCACAAAAGCAGAAAAAAAAAAAAAGCCAGAAGTGGTGCTATGGCTCAAGTGGTAGCATGCTAGCCTTGAGCTGAAGAGCTGAGGGACAGCACCCAGGCCCAGAGTTCAGGCCCCATACATGGACCCCCCCCCCAAAAAAAAAAAAAAAAGAAAGAGTCTCAAGGACTTTCCTGCCTGGGCTGGCTTTTAACCGCGATCCTCAGATCTCAGCCTCCTGAGTAGCTAGGATTATAGGCATGAACCACTGGTGCCCGGCTCTTGTTTTGTTTTCTGAAGTAAAAGTTTAAGTGTTTTACTAAGTAGAGTTTGGAATGATGATTAGGTATTCCAGGTAGTCTGAGAGGAGCAGGGCAAGCTGGGCCATTTGCATGTAGCGCATGCAGCTAGCTAAGGAAGGCTAAGAGAATAGTTTTGTTAGATGTGTGGTACACATCTGTAATCATAGCACTTGGGAGGCAGATACCTCACAAGTGAGTTTAAAGGCAGCCTAGGATACATAGCAAGACCCTATTTCAGAAAGGGAAGAAGAAGGGAGGGGAGAGGAGGAAAGAGGAAGGGAAAAAGGGAAAGGAAAGGGGAAGGGAAAAAGGGAAAGGGAAGGAGAGGGAAGGGAGAATGGAAGGCAAGGAGGGAGAGAAGGGAAGAGAGAGAATTATAATTCAAGAGACAATAGGCAGAATATGTTATTGGAACAAAGGACACGGAGGCCTTATGCTTACTAAGGATGTTGGAAGGGATTTTTTTTCTTTTGTTTTAAAAGAAGAGCTCTCCCTTCCCTTCCCTCCTTTCTTGATATAATTCATTCTCATCCTTTTAGAGTATACAAATATAGCCACAAGATTGTGCATCATCAACCATTGTCTAATTTCAAAGCATTTTCATTAACTCAAAAAGAAATTGTGTATCCACAACCATTGTCTAATTTCAAAGCATTTTCATTAACTCAAAAAGAAATTGTGTATCCATTTGCAGCCACTCCCAGTGTTATTTCCCTTCTGTCCCTGACTGTGATAATCTATTTTCTGTCTATGTGGATTTGCCTCTTCCAGATTTCATATGGGATTTTATAATATGTGCCCTTTAGTGTTTAGCTTCTTTGAAGGGTTTTAATAGTGATATTAGTTTTTCTCTTTTTTATTAGTTTTTCTTGAAAGTTCAGTTTGATAGCTATACAAAGGACGAAAAAGAGTGGGCAAGATTGAGGGAAGGAAGAATGAAACTGTAATTTGTAGTATTGGCAGCTGTTGTAGTTGTCTTCAGTCACAAGGGCTGGTCTAAGCCAAGCTCCTACTACCAAGGAGACAGAATTAATAACTGTCATTGTTGGATGTGTTAGGGTAAAGACAAATCAGAAGTCTCTCAAGTTTTGACTTGTGTAGCTGGGTCGATAGATGGTTAGATGGTGCTTGCCTTTTCATACTTCATTGTGAGATGGCTGAACTAATGGTGTCAGCAACATGCATTTTTGCAAAGAATTCCTTGACCTATCCTGAGAAGTCTAACCCGAATAGGCCCAAGAGGGATTACAGGATGACAAATATGATTTATCACAATGTATTAAATACAGTTAGGAGTAGATTCTATACATTGACTTTAGAGCAAATGTTTCCCCAAACTGTGTTCTTTGCACACTTGTTAATTGAGTCAAGCTATGAAAAATTGTTTTTTGTCCGACAAATTTGGGAAATACCATATTACATATCACTTTACAAGAAAACATAGACATGGTTCAAATTTCAAAATCCTGCAATAAAGAACTCTTACAATTTTTATTTAACCTAAGAATTCTAAAACTAGTGCAAAAGTATTAATTTCATATGTTCCTGAAAGATGACTTTGAGAGACTGCACTGGAACAGTGATATGGGGATAGCTGTCATGTTTGTTCAACTATATATTGCCCATTGGTGCCAGTCAAGGGCAGACTCCAGACAGAACTGGCCAGATCTAGTCTAGTATCCCTATACTAAAGAAATTGTCTACTATTAAAATTCAGTGTTTTTGATTGGGGGGGTTCCTAAACAGTTTGCCATCTCTTGGAGCAAGAGCGACAACAGCACAACCAGTTAAAACATACATGGCAGAAGGCCAATGACCAGTTTCTGGAATCTCAGCGTTTGCTAATGAGAGACATGCAGCGAATGGAGATTGTGCTAACTTCAGAGCAGCTCCGACAAGTAGAAGAACTGAAGAAGAAAGATCAGGTGAATAGCAGTTTTGTAGGACTCATTTACATTGTTAATAAAACACCTCCATCCCCAATGATTGCATTACCTTTTGTGTGTTAGAGATTGACTTAAGATGGAACAAGGTGGTGTATGCCACTTTACAGTTGTTGTTGTTGTTAATATTATTATATTTGTTTAATTGATTGCAGTGTTGGGGTTAGGGATTAAATTTAGGGCTTTGCTCATGTTAAACAAGTACTCCTCTACTGAGCCACATTTCCAGCCCCTAGATTTTTTTTTTCTTTGAATACAACCTAAGAAAAACATAATAGTTGGATTTGAGTGATTTTTGCTTTTCAGCTTTACAAATTACTCAGGAATTATTCTTTTTGGAGATTGCAGGATGAAGCAGTACATATTTCTGAGAAAAATTTTCTTCGATTTTTATGGGACTCCTAAATTTGGTCAATATAGACCAAGTGTTTGGTCGCCTTGCCCTAAAAATGTGATTAAAAAGTGACTAGATAAGCCAGGTGCCAGTGGCTCATGCCTGTAATCCTAGCTACTCAGGAGGCTGAGATCTGAGGATCACAGTTCAAAGCCAACCCAGTTAGCATAGTTCATGAGACTCTCACCGAATTAGAGCTGCGGCTCAAGTGGTAGAGTGTTAGCCTTGAGCACAAAAGCTCAGCTCTAGCATCTCAGTTTAAGTTCCAGGACACATACACAATGATGACAGGATACAGTTGGGTATGGTGGTACACATCTATAATCCCAGTACATGGAGGCAAGTGGATGTGTGGTTCATATGATAAAACACCTGCCTGGCAAGTACAAGGCCTTTAGTTCATTATTACCCCCACCCCCCAGGACACACCACCACCACCGGAAAAAAAAGAAACGGCAAAAGGCTGAGTGCTATGTTAAAAAAGGATGTGGGCTGGGGATGTGACTCAAGAATTAGAATGCTTGCTTACCATGTGTGAAGCCCTCAGCTCAGTCCCTAGCATTGCAGGAAGAAAGAGGAAGTGGCAAAGAGGGAAGGGGGAAAGAGAATAGACATAGGAGAATGGGGTGGGGAATACAATAAAGAAGTATAAGTCCGGGGCTGGGAAAGTGGTTCAGTGGTAGAGTGCTTGCCTTGCATGCATGAGGCCCTGGGTTCGATTCCTCAGCACCACATAAGCAGAAAAAGCTGGAAGTGGCGCTGTGGCTCAAGTGGTAGAGCGCTATCCTTGAGCTGAAGAGCTGAGGGACAGCGCCCAGGTCCAGAGTTCAGGCCCCATGGCCGGCCCCCCCAAAAAAAGTATAAGTCCCTCCAAATATAACCTCATTTACCAATTTGGTAGAATCTTCCAGACCAGTTCTGTGTTTATAAGCATGTGCTTATAAACAATGTGTATTATCATAATGTGTATTTGTTCTAGATTCTTTAACTTATTTTCCCTTAAGCATTGTCCTAAATATCTTCCTTTCCCTTTCCCTTTCCCTTTCCCTTTCCCTTTCCCTTTCCCCTTCCCCTTCCCTTTCCCTTTCCCTTCCCTTTCCTTCTCCCCCTTCCTTTCTTCCTTCCTTCCTTCCTTTCTTTTTTTTTTTTTTTGCCATTCCTGAGGCTTGAAGTCTGGGTCTGGGTGCTATCCTGAGCTCTTTTTTTGCTTAAGGTTAGAGCACTACCACTTCAGGCTTTTACTGGGATTAATTGGAGATAAAAGCATCATGGACTTTCCTGCCTGGGGCTGGCTTCAAACTACAATCCTCAGATCTCAGCCTCCTGAGTAGTTAGGATTACAGGCATGAGCCACTGGCACCCAGCTTGGATATATTTTCATGAGAGAGTTGTAGCTCATTCTGGTTAACTGGTAATAGGAATGTATAGTAATTTGTAGATCCAGATCCATCTTTATTTTGTCCCCATACCTTTTGTCATCCGAGATATTGTTACAGCACTAGTAACTTTTGCCATGTTGCATATGGATACAAAACTCTCTCTAGAGTAGTTACGTAAAAGTGTTCATTGCTTTTCTAGGTATTTTAAGATTTTGTGTGTGTGTGTGTGCATGCATGCACCCGTGTGTGCGTGTGTGCGTGTGTGTGTGTGTGTGTGTGTGTGCGCCAGCGGGTCTTGGAGCTTGAACTTGGGGCCTAACATTGTTCTTGAAGTTTTTGCTCAAGGCTGCTGCTCTTCACTTGAGCCACAGCTTTCTTGGTAGTTAATTGGAGATAAGAGTCTCATGGACTTTCCTACCCAAACTGGCTTTGAACTATGATCCTGAGATCTCAGCCTCTTGAGTAGCAAGAATTTCAGGCACGAACCACCACTGCCTAGCTTTTTTTTGGGGGGGGGGGTTCTGGTCGTGGGGTCTGGACTCTGGGCCTGGGCGCTGTCCCTCAGCTCTTCAGCTCAAGGATAGCGCTCTACCACTTGAGCAACAGCGCCACTTCTGGCTTTTTTCTTTTGCTTATGTGGTACTGAGGAATTGAACCCAGGGCCTCATGCATTCAAGGCAAGCGCTCTACCACTGAGCCACCTTCCCAGACCACACTGCCCAGCTTTTTATGACTTAAGTTAGATTTTATTTTATAGAAGTTTCTTTTTCAATTGTTTAGATCATCTGCGTGAAGACTGTCAGCCTAAGGATTTAAATTCTAAAATACAGATCAGATCATGCCTATTTTGCTGCCCATTATAACTGTCTAAACTTTATTTAGATGGCTATTGAAGGCATTTATTAATGTTGATTGAGAGATCTTACATGTGCCAACATTGTGCCAAGGCTTTACACATAAAGCTTTATCTCAGACATTTCTCAGAAAAGAATAAAGCTTTCCATGTGAGGTAGGCACTACTGAATCATCCTTATGTGGTAGATCAGGTGATGAGGTAAAGGCAGTTCTCAGGTTTAAGCAGTCTCCGATTGTAGAGTCTAAGCACTTAATCACCATTTCCTCCTTCCTCTCCCTCACTTCTCACGGACCTGCCTCCTTTTCAGTTGTGAAGTTATTCAGTATTTCCCCACAGATATGTTTGTTCAGACCTTTGTGTTTTGAACATGCTTTGTTCTTCCCTGGAATCCTTTCCTGTCTCTTTTCATGCAGTTGCCAAACTCATCTTAGTGATCTTCCCAGATCCAGCTGATGTGTTATCTTCTCTGGGTCTCCTTAGCTGGCTCCCTCAGATGAAATAAGTCTGTTTTTCTCTTTTTGAAGAACTTTACTTTATCCCCTCTCATTAGACTATCTTGGAAGAGCATAGAAGGTATCTTATTCATCTCTGTTGCATGGAGTATATCACCTTTGATCATTCCCTTTGTATTTCATATAAATCTGTTCTTGGTTCTGATGGGTGTGTAATATCATGATATTTGTTTTCTCCAATAAGCAGAAGGGAATGTTTTTATGAATATTACTTTGGATCATTTAAAGAGGAATTAGCTTTGCTTTATTTATTTATTTATTTATTTATTGGGTCCGGTCATGAGGCCTGAACTCTGGGCCTGGGCGCTGTCCCTCAGCTCTTCAGCTCAAGGCTAGTGCTCTACCACTTGAGCCATAGTGCCACTTTTGGCTTTTTTTTTTTTGCTTATGTGGTGCTGAGGAATCGAACCCAGGGCCTCAAGCATGCAAGGCAAGCGCTCTACCACTGAGCCACCTTCCCAGCCCCAGCTTTGCTTTATTTTATCTTACTTAGTTTTGCCGCATACTTTTGTAAAAACTGCTTCCTGATTTCTTCTTTATAACCGTTCTTACCTAGTACTTATTATATTAAAATATTTTGTTTCTATATGCAATTACAAAACACATAAGCCTAAATGTCTGATACCATAAAGCCTTGTTTTTTCTTAGTTGTTTTAGTAATAAAAGAACTACTTGACCCTTAGTTATATATGGTGGTACACACCTAAAATCCCAACTACTCAGTAGGTGGAGGCAGGATAATCTCAAATTTTGAGGCCAGCCAGGCAAAATTGCTGAGACCTTATTTCAAAACAAAAGGGCTGGGTGTATAGCTCAAGTGGTAGAGTGCTTGCTTAGCATAGCATACTCGAAGCCTTGGGTTCAATTCCTAGCAACAATGCCCTTCCGTCCCCTCTGGGCCCTCCCCCCGCTTAAAAATCCTATTTGACTTGTTAAGTTATAATAATGTTTTTCTTCTAATTTTTAGGAGGATGATGAACAACAAAGGCTTAATAAGAGAAAGGATCATAAAAAAACAGATGCTGAGGAAGAAGCAAAAATACCAGTAGTGTGTGCTTTAACTCAAGAAGAATCTTCAGCCCAGTTATCAAATGAAGAGGTACAGTGAATCTATACTCAGAACTATTAAGGACTTAGATTGTGGTTTGGTGTTAGAATACCTGCCTAGCATGTACAAGATCCTAGGTTCAATTGCTAGTACTGTCAGAAAGCAAAATAAAGTACAACAAATATTGTATAAGCTTAGTACAACAGCATGTGCTTATAATCTTAGCACTTGAGAGTCTGGGGCTGGGGGTGGCCTGAACTTAGAAGTTCTACGTGTTTCAAAAAACCTCACAAAAACAACACACACACATATACATATACACACACGTATGTATGTATAATACAGTATTACCATCTTTTACTTAATCATATATTGTTCAGTTTCATTGTTTCTGTGAAAAGTGAGTAGTTGAAATGCCAGTATTTTCAGCCATTTTTATGGCATTATAATAGTATTTGAAACATTTTTTTTTTTTGTCGGTCCTGGGGCTTGAACTCTGGGTCTGGGCACTGTTCCTCAGCTCTTCAGCTCAAGGCTGGCCCTCTACCACTTGAGCCACAGCGCCACTTCTGGCTTTTTCTGCTTATGTGGTACTGAGGAATCGAACCCAAAGCCTTATGCATGCAAGGCAAACACTCTACCACTGAACCACCTTCCCAGACCTAGAATAAATCTTTATGTCTACTACAAAATCTGAGTTTTGATGTGAATAATAAATTCAAAATTATTTTGAATTTTTTAAAATTTAGTTTTGTTTTGATTTTGAAACAGGATCTTACTAGTAGCCCAAGCTAGCCTCCAACTCAAGATTCTCCATCTTTGGCCTCCTTCTTACATGCTGGGATTACAACCATGCACCACCACATATCGTTGTAGTATTAGGTCTTAAGTTGTTTTGCTTTTGTGGGTCATGGGCCTTGAACTCAGGGCTTGGGTGCTCTCCTGGAGCTTTTTCATTCAAGGCCAGTGCTTTGCCACTTTGAGCCACAGATCTACTGGGTAGTTAATTAGTGGTTAATTAGAGATAAGAGTCTCACAGACTTTCCTACCTGAGCTGGCTTTGAACTGTGGTTCTTGGATTTCAGCCTCTTGAGTAGCTAGGATTATATGTGGAAGCCACTGACACACCCAGCAGGTCTTTCTGAGAACAGAGAGTCAAGTTTGACAGATTATGGTGAGACCTGGTGGAACATTGCACATATAAAGGATAGAGTGGAAATTTTTTTAACAAAAATGTAATTTTATTCTTACTAAGGTATTGTACAAAGAGTTTATTATTTCATAAGTCAGGTAATGAGTACAGTTCTTTTTGGACAATCTCTCCCCTTCCTTTGCTTTCCCCCAGTTTCCCTCTCCTATTCCTGCCTACAATTTGCACAGTTCAGTTTTTGTATAGTGTGTAACGAATATCATGACTGCATTTGTTCATACTTCTTCCTTCCATTTCTGCTCTCTCCCTTTGTCCCTGCCAGAAAAGACCGAAACAAAAAACAAAAAGCCCACAAGCAAAAACACACACCACCATCACCAACAAAAATTCCCTGTTTCCATTTCCTGGAATTCATTTTGATAAATAGCATTTTAACGTTGATAGGAGTTTTACTTTTGAGTTCTACCCCTAAGGGCATCCTCCTTTATTCTGACTATGTGTGTGTGTGAATGCCTGGAGTTTTGTAATGGTGGAGAGGTTCTGAGGTGGAAGTAGTGCTCCTGTGGTCTCATCACCTTCACCCTGAGTATTACATGGGCCTCCACATTGCTCCTGCCTTCATAGTCTTACACTCTGTTGTACCCTCTGCATTACTGTCAAATTCATTTCCTTAAGAGTAGGTGCAGTAGTTCACTCCTCTACTCAAAAACCACCAGTGGTTCCCATTACTCCCAATGTGGAGTAGAAATTCCTCAGACTTTTGGTGCTTTATAAGAAGGATATTGTTAGAGACATACTGGTTTTTCTCTTGTGCCATGTTCTCCTCTTCCCCTGTTGCAGTGTTCTTTCATCTGGAGTGCTTGGCTCCCTCAGTCTTTCTGAGTGTTGAAATCCTTTTACTGTGTCTTCAAAGCTCATGCTGGTATCTCTTGTTGAATGAAGGAAACGTTTCCCCTATTATTATTTGGCTTTCTTAAATGTCCTGTTAGCTATATCCTCTGTTCTCCCTTCATTACTGCCAGGCCTATCTGCTACAGACAAGCCTTGTTTATACTGCCCCTGATACAGAGAGTTTCATACTCATGAGGGCCAAGGATGTTGCTCAGTGGTAGAGTGTATACTTAGTGTTTATGAGGCCCTGGGTTTGATCTATAACAGCATATCCTCCCTCCACTTCCTACAAAGTTCCCAACCCCTGCCTCCTTTACCAGCCCAGTGAACAAAGCTCAGTTAAGTTGAATAAAGGCCTTTTCTTCACATTCAGAAATACCACACTTCGGGGCTGAGAAGGTGGCTCAAGTGGTAGAGCGCTAGCCTTGAGCCAAAGAGCTGAGGGACAGTGCCCAGGCACAGAGTTCAGGCCCCACAACCGGACCCCCCCAAAAAAACAGCAAAAAAAAACACCCCACACTCCTAGTTTGCAGAGTTACTCTGAACCAAGTATAAATCTAGTTCCTGGTAACTTACATTTTCTTGTTTTCAGACAGTTTGATATCGAAAAGCTTTTTTTTTTAAAGAAAATATTAGCAGACCTGAAAACTATGATGCAGTTGTTTTTGCACATTCTTTGGTTTGGAATGTTCTGAGGACCTCTTGGCCTAATTTTTTAATAGACTCCCAAGAGAATGTCTCACGTTTTGGGTACAGCCAAATATTACATGATTTTTGCATCATACATTCATCTATCCAAGAATGTTTGAAAAGCAAGAAAACAGAAAAGTGAATCTTGTGATTTACAGTAAAATCTTTTCTTATTTTTGATTGTTTTAATTTTTCTATGTGACAGAATACATAGCATTACTTCCCAACATTTGAAAATTTTTTTATTAGACATTTTGGTCTGATACTTTGTGCTTTGAATCTTGAGTAAAATTGTTTTGTGTTTAGAATCCTGACAACTTACTTCAGCTGGTAGATTCAGGTGTGCATGAAATTATATTTAAAGTTAAAATTTATAGGACCTCATGTGTTTAACCTGATTGATAGAATATGCTTTCTCACTACAAAAGTAGTATAAATATGTTCTGGAAATTTTGGAGTTCAGAAAAGGCCATACAAATAAAAATAACTGGGCTGGGAAGTTGGCTTAGTGGTAGAGCGCTTGCCTTGCATGCCTGAGGCCCTGGGTTCAATTCCTCAGCATCACATAAACAAAAAGAAAAAAGCTGGAAGTGGCGCTGTGGCTCAAGTGGTAGAGCACTAGCCTTGAGCTGAAGAGCTGAAGGACAGAGTTCAGGCCCCACTACTGGGCCCCCCCCCAAAAAAAAACAAAAATAACTGGTAGCTAATTCTGCCACTCCCAGAGATAACCATCTCTAACATTTTGGTATGTATTTCTTCCTTCCTTTTTTTTTTTTTTTTTTTGGTGTGCTGGTCCTGGGGCTTGAACTCAGGGCCTGAACACTGATTCTGAGCTTTTTTGCTCAAGGTTAGCACTCTACCATTTGAGCCACAATTCTACTTTTGGCTTTGTGCTAGTTAATTAGAGATGAGAATCTAACAGACTTTCCTGCCTGGGCTGGGTTCAAACTGTGATCCTCAGATCTCAGCCTTCTGAGTAGTTAGGATTATAGGTAAATCACTGGTGTCCAATTCTTTTCTCCTTTTTAAGATAACACAATTATGTTTCTATTTATACTTTTAAAACATGCTGTATTTTGTTTTCTGGGTACCTTCTCCACTTAAGTCTACTTGAAATATTTTCCCAAAGAAAGCTGTTTAATTGCTTACAGACTTTCCATATGTAAATTTATGTACAGGTTTTACTGTATAAGTTTGACTGAGACAGCATGGGTAGGTCAGTACCATTAGAAAAAACAGATGTTACACTGTTTTCTCTTTGGCATTTTAGGGTTTGAACCCAAGGCCTAGTACATCTGAATTAGTGCTCTACCACAAAGGTACATTTCTCACTGGTGATTCCTCTAGGAATCCCTTGCTGGGTGGCCTGAGGGAAAGCACGGATAGAAGGAGTGAAGGGCAAGTATAGTCTGCAATGTTGTTGGGGTTTCTGGGGCAGCAAGTAAGATCAGGGAATGGCTTAGGACTAGCTAGTTGGGAAAATTCCCATAGGCTTTAGGGTAGAGGGATTCTTTTCTTTTTCTTTTTCTTTTTTTGGTCAGTTGTGGGGCTTGAACTCTGGGCCTGGGAGCTGTCCCTCAGCTCAAGACTAGTGCTTTACCACTTGAGCTATATAGTGCCACTTCAGTTTTCTGGTGGTTTATTGGAGATAAGAGTCTCACGGATTTTCCTGCTCTGGCTGGCTTTGAACCACAATTCTGAGATTTCAGCCTCCTGAGTAGCTAGGATTACAGGTGTGAGCCACCAGTGCCGTGCTTAGAGGGATTCTTTTTATGTATGTATGTATGTATGTATGTATGTATGTATATACGTATATATGTTTGTATGTATGTAGTATCTACTGGTTCCTGGGATGTTTTAGGGCAGGGACTATAGTGACTTCTCAATGTGAGTTAGATAAAGTAAGTGCTTGGAGGTATGAGTTTGAGGTTGGTTTGTTTACACATGAGAGACATGTTCATAGTAAATGAGTTAATGTCTCTAGGCTTCTGCTAGCTCCAACACCTAGTCACTCCCTAGCTAGCAAGGCTTCCAAGATACCAAACATCATGAAGTGTAGAAAATAACAAACACACGAATGTGGGTATACCTCAGTGGTGGAGTGCTTGGCTAGCATGCACAAGTCCCTGGTGTCCCGTCTTAGCACCATAAAGCAAAACAAAACACGAATTAACACACAGAGGCTCAAGTTGGTTTTTGGGTTTTTTTTACTATCATAAAAATTCTCATTAAAGAGGTGTGCTCAAGCAGTTAAGTGTTAGCTGAGCAAAAAAGCTTCAAAATAGTGTGAGGCCCTAGTCCCACCAACCCAGTCCCCCAAAACATTAAGTAATGTTCTAATGCACTATATATAGTTTATCCCTGTACAAAAATCACTTTTTGCCAGGTGCTGGTGGCTCACATCTGTAATCCTAGCTACTCAGGAGGCTGTGCCCAGCTATAATGGATTCTTATTCCAGTATTATTAGATTATTTATTTAGGGCCTTTCCCCTTATTAGCTTAATATAGACTAAGTTTGTGTTTTTATCTGAATTTGATAGGAGTAAATGTTTTTGAAAGATATGGGGGAATGAAATCTACTTCCTTGGCTGTCACTGAGTGCTTTTTTGTCTCCATGAACTTGTGTTCTGGATAGATTCATATCTTATGCTATTGGCTTCTGGTTTCTTTTGCTGTGTTCCATAATTAATGTGTTTGTTATGCCATGCTTGAAACTTGGCTCCAGAATAACATATTATTCTCTTATTCTGGCTACTTTTTCCTCTGCTCATCCTCTGAATGTTGCTGTTTTTCACTACATTGTCTTTGGCCCTTTTATGTTACACATTAGTTTTAGGTGTTTTGATTAGCTCTATGCCTTTAGTTAATTATCTTTATACAACGATAACTCTGAAGCCTCTGACTGAAGACTTTCATGTCCATCTGTCAGCTGCACTCTCTACTTGGATATTCAAAGACAACACATTGGGCATTCTCAACACTGAATTGGATGTGACTTACTCCAGCTCATATTTAGGCTAAATTCTTCCTCTTGAGTCCCCAGAGCTTGCACTTCATCTGTTAAACACAACCTGATTTATTTACCTATCTTTTTTTTTTTTTTTGGGTCCAGTCGTGGGGCCTGAACTCTGGGCCTGGACGCTGTCCCTCAGCTCTTCAGCTCAAGGCTAGCGCTCTACCACTTGAGCCACAGCGCCACTTCCGGCTTTTTTCTTTTTGCTTAT